CCGCCTCTTTACTTTATAGAGAAGGAACACCCGCCCCTTTTACTTATCGTCCTAACGAACCAGAAGAGAACTTTCATCCACGTTGAAAGCCACGAAAATCGTGTTTGTCTACAAAACGAGGCCGAGAGATCTTTTTCCCTTGGCGTCGTGATTCCACGAATTTTCCCTACCGTCTTCTTCCTTCTCCTGCGAAGGAAGAATCGAATAAAAATTTACCGATCCTCGACGGATGGGTAACTTTGGGAAACCCACAGTTTCACGAAGTAGGAAGCACGAGAAATTTATAGATGTTAGGTGGAATTATTATCGGGGTAATTAATGGGAGAACGAGACTTCTCCATTGGGAATTGTCCCATTAAGAGGGTTTCGCGATTGTTTCGAGACGGGAACTCGTCGAGGGATGTAAAGGGATGAACGTAAAGGGTTCTAATCGGGAGCCGCGTTCCCGATAACGTGGTTTTACGAGGGTGTAAAATATCGTTCGAGAGACCGATTTCTCGAGTTGGCCGAGAATGGAAGCTTCTTTCTCGAGAGGGGAGAAATTTTCTATCCACCCGAATGGGATGAAGAGACGTCTCGGTGACGAGGATAAATAAATTAACGTGGACGACGTTTCAGGGCCGGTCCAGAGTAAAAGCGAAAATTTCATTTTCGTCGAAAATATCGAACGACGTGTCTTAGTCCCACGCCTTTTGTTTTCCGCGAGGGTCGTATTCAACAGGGTTGTACGCCTCCCCGAAACGCAATTTGCCATGAAAGCTTCCTCGCCCGATTATCGGATGACAAACCGATGACACCGTCCCTCGCCTGATTTCGGACACACGATCGCTCTCATCCTCGTTCGACGTTCCTTCCACTCGTCGTTGGAAATTCTCGCGGAAGAGGGGATCGTTTCACGAAAGTCTAAAAAGTTTATCGTACTCCTTTCAAAATATCGTGTGAATGAAAGTGAAAGAAGGAAAGAGAATTTAAAAGCACAAAGGATGAGGGGGTAAAGAGACGCGACAAAGGCCGGCGTTGTTGGTTGGATCGTTGGAAAAACGACGCGTTACATCACCTCGAAAACACGCTTGTTAATCATCCGGTCCTCTTTACACGAACGAGTCCCTTCCTCGCGATGATATAGGATGTCGTTTCTCCCTTCGCGACGCCATTCCTTCGCGTCACCAGCAACATCCATCCCAAGGGACCGATCTTTGATTACATCATCCGAAAAAATACGCGTTCGATGTATAGAATTGTATGTAGAAATGGAATCGTTTTGTGTCAAATACTCGCACAATTCGTCGTATATATATATTTATCTCCAAAGAGATCCCCAAAGAGGCGGTGAAGTTTCTCTGGCTGGCATAAAAATGGAATCGTTGGAAGGAGAGAGGTGGTTTATTTCCTTGATTTCCAACCACGCGAATTTAAACCACGATCGACGACGAACGTTTCTCGCGCAAGATGGGTGGTCGCGAGGGGTTGCTTTTAGCCGATGGTTTTATCTGCCTATTGTTCCTCGCGGTCCGTGGATACCGCTCCGTTCGATCAAATAGATGGAAATTCGCCGAAGGACAGAGGTGTTTCTCTCCTTTTCTTTCCTCTTTTTCTTTTCTTTTTCTTTTTTTTTTTTTTTTTTTTTTTTTTTTTTTTTTTTTTTTTTTTTTTTTTTTGGAGAGAAGAATCGGCCACGATAACGACAGATTTATCGGATCACGGACTCATAAACGACGCGTTTCGACTCGCCGCGAATAAAAACCTGTTGAGTTCGCTGGCGCGACTCGACGAACATCCTTCGGCTATTGTTCTCCGCGATCGAACGCGGAATTTCGCTCGAATTTCGTCACACCGCCATTGTTTTCTCCGTTAACGATCCGCGGTTCTACATGCAAATCAACCTGACAGGGGAATAGGCATCGTGCTCCTTTTTTTCCCTTTTTTCCCCTCCCCTCTCCGGATTCGAGCATTCCAGTTTGTTGCCAACTCGCGTGTAATCGAAGCCGAGATTTCGAAAAATTCGATCTTTCG